ATGCAGCAGTTCAGCTTCTCGGAAGTCTAGGTTATGATCCCAATTACGGTGCTAGACCCGTGAAGCGAGTCATCCAACAAAACATTGAGAATGAGATTGCCAAGGGTATTCTAAGGGGAGACTTCAAAGATGAGGATACTATACTAGTGGATACCGAGCTCACTGCTTTCTTAAATGGTCAGCTGCCTCAACAAAAGCTGGTCTTTAGGAAAGGCAATTCCGATGCCTCAGATAGACCTGCTGAAGACCAGAAGGCTTTATCGCCAAGCACATGATTGAGTTTTTTGTCCTAATTGTAGAACTTTACTAGTGCTAAAAGTAGTATGATATGTCATCTTTAATTTAACACTGTATATAATATCCGGAAATAAAATAGAGATGATGGTTCACATTTACCTTTGATGGTACTTTGATCCGTACGAGAGTATACTCAAATGAGAGAGTGAAACGATGGGGTAAAAGAGAGTGAAACAATGAGCAAGTACCTTTTTCCTCTTTTCATTGCAAGACGAGATAGGAGAATCACGGGAAAAGTACAACTTATCTTAGTGGTTTGTATTTCCTCATCATATATCGTGTCTGTAAATGCTGACAGCAGTTGTTTGGAGAACCTTTACTCAGGGTTTCGGGTAGTTACGGAATTTTTTTCAATTTTATTGCACATTTGGCGCACATGGGACATTTGGCGCACATGGGACATTATGTTTATCTCAGCAGTTGATATTGAAGCTTCATTTTTTAACATTAAAAATACTGTTCATATCTGCTTTTTTTTTTGTTCTTGCAAATGATGAATTTAACATTTATTAGACATTTCATAAATATATATATATATATCTTTTTTGGCTCTATTATAAAAAATTGATAAAATTTTCTAATTTGTGTATTATTTTGATAATTGATTTGGAAATTCAATCTGTAAATTGTAGTTAAAAAAATTATCGCTGAGGTTTTAAACAATTATATATAAAAACCATATCATAAATTTTGTGACAAATATAACTCGATAAATAATACCCATTGCAACGCGTGGGCTTAATGCTAGTATGATATAAGAAACAACTTATTGTCACCCCAGTACCACATCACGTACGCTGTGGATTGGGGATTTATCGATATACCGTACTTAATTATGAAGACATGATTCTAGAAATAAGTTAGAAACTTAATTCTTATCATTTACATAGGAACAGAGTGACCATATGTCAGGGTCCTCTTTTACATTAAGAAGCAAAGTGCTTTACAGGAACTTATACAGTAGCTACATAATCAAACTACCATATGCGTTTGAACTGACAAGAAACAATAGTATAACATTTTTTTAGATGCGACATGAAGCTGGACAAAGAATTAGCAGTCTCGTAAAAGTTTCAGTATTCCATGTGAATCACAAACTCCATGCCACTCGTATAGCATAACTTCATAAAAAGATAGAAGAGAATCAAACAGTATGAGAACATATCCATGGAACTTGTACTGGATTATGTTGACTGTAATCATATTCACACAATCATAACTTGCCAATTTGACATATTTGAACTGGCCCGGAAACCGATGAAGGTGTTGTGCTCTGTGAAATGTCACCGCGATAATATCTGTAGTGCAACCATGACACTGTCAAATCTGAGAGCTCGAGGCAAACTGGGCCTTGGTTATAAGAGCTCGAGGCGAGTTGCTGAATCCTTTCTTCATGTTTATACATTACTGCATAAATAAATTTCGAGCCAGTTTGCTATTACACAACGATGCTGAGCCAAGTGCAACCCAACCAGGGCAGCAAAAAAGCAAACCTATTGAGCCAGAGAACTTCCTCCGGATGCCAAATCGAGCTGCGAGAACAGCTATAGAACTTCGTCAATACATTTTCATTTCCATCCACAGGACAACCAAATAGGAAACCATTTTGTAGCTCGTGCCAGTTTAATTTCTGTAATCCAGTTCGCTAGATCCATCCGATATAAGATTATTAAGTGTATAATGAATTCAATGAAATAGGTTGATGCCTCCAGACTGTTTTCTTATAATCATCGTCTCTGGACGCAATTTTTCCTGCACAGTACAATTTTATGGTTCATGTAACTGGACACATTTTAAAGATGATATGAACTACTTGAATGTAGATTGAGATGTCTGACCATTCACTATGAAAACCAAATGAAATGCTTGCTGAACAAAGGGCCTTTTAGTGGTGCTTCTAGGTTTTTTACGTTAAAGAGAGCTAACTTGAACAGAAATATGTAAAGGAGTATAAAAATCAAAAAGAAAAATAATTGAAAAGAGTGACCATAATCGACATGATATATCACAATCAGAGGGAGCATACAAGTGGTCATTTGGATACTTGCATGTTCGATAAATATATTTGGCATTCGCCTTTACGGAGTACATAGCTTTTCAATTTTCCTTGGTGTAATTATGATTTCTGTCAGGCGTGGCTTCTATGCTTGCTGATTCAAGCTTTGTTGAAGCTTCATATATTCCTTCCTAACAGCGTAAGACTTTATGCATGCAACATGCCAGCAATAGACCCTTTAACCCACATCGTTGGATTGGCTATCTCGGTCTAAAATATGTACGATGACGAGTTGAATGCAAATATTTATTGTTTGAAGATCATATGACATCGATCTATGACTACGACAGGGTGATACGAGAAGTAATGTCATACTGAAAACCTTGAATGCTTAGTGCGTACTTCTGGGGATAAATAAATGGCAATCAAGTACTATATTTGCGTCTATGCTTAAGAAAGTGGCTAAGGCTGACAGTTTGTTAGGAGACATTTCAACTTAACATGTGAGGTTCCCTTTTACCTTTTCAAATATCCTGTGCCAACGGATAGGAAACAAATGCACCATTAATTATTTTTTATAGAAAAATGAGAAGTAAAAAAAGAGGAAAGTCCAGCCAAAATATATTGTCCGTATGCTTTTTTATCCTATTAAAGTCTAGATATCAGTTCAGAGTATACTCGAGAAAGCTCACTAAATGCGTGCTGAGGTAATGTTAGGTTTCTAACAATCGAAAATTAGTTCTGCAAACGGTTATGCATGATGTTATACTGAATCGATGTTGAGCTTTTTAAAGTGAGTTACAGTGTACCTTGGACTCTTTGGTCCTTTTTCTGGCAAGTGCTGAAGCATCAAAGCCCTTGTTTTGCCATCTGGATTAAGCCCGATGCTAGTCATCTTTGCATAAATCTTCTTCGCCAATGTAAATTTGCCTTGTAAGCAAAACCCATGAACGAGGGCATTGTACAGGGAAGCATCTGGTGCAACACTCTGTTACAGTTCAAGGAGAAATTAACATGTCCATATGCATCGATGAAAAAGAATATGAAATATATGATTAAAACTTATGGATCCAACAATAAATAAATAAATAAATAAATAAAGGCCTAGTGGCCCTATTCCATAGTTTATTGGGCAGCTATGCATGTCTTTACGTTGGCTAAACTGAGAAGAGAGAATGATATAGGCATAACGGATGAAGAGAAAGGGTGAACAATACGTCAAACTGTTCAGTCCATGAATCAAGTCCAAACATGCATGAACCTGCGTTGATGGCAAACAACTGGTGGTTGTGAAAACACCAGCCAAGAGAGTTCTCCCAATGTGATACTCACACAAATGACTTTAATTCAATAACAAATTGGAATTGTAAATCACTGTATGCAAATGGAAATAAGGTGAACAAAATTTATATTGATTTCATATATCAAGGTAGTAAAAGCAAACAAAGCACAGAAAGTGGTGCAAAGACAACATACCTCCAAGATTTTCTCAGCTTCCATCCAAAGAGATCCCCATACACAAGCCCTAATCAAAGACAGGTATGTAAATGTATCCGGTGCACATTTCTGGTGAACCATATGTTGATAAACTTGCAATGCGACTCTTGGCTTTCTTGCAGCTTCACAGGTACTGATCACATGATTATAAGAGAGGGTAGATATTTGGATTCCACTTGTTTCCATCTCCCACAGTAGCTGCAGTGAGCGCTCCCATAAACCAAGCCTCTGACAAGCCATCAGAGCTGTGTTATATAGGTGGGAATTCAACTGAGAAGGGTCCTTTGCCTTAATGCCCTTAAAAAATTGCATGACACCTGAAAATTGTTTACTTCTATAGAGCGCCGTAAGCAATGCGTTCCATGTATATACATCAGGTTTAAGTCCCGAAGATTTCATCACATCACAAATCCTAAATGCTACGTCAACTTCACCCGCCTTCCCAAGACAATTTATAACAGCATTGTATGTAATCACATTTGGTTTCATACCCTTCTTGAGCATTTCTTCAAAAACCTTGAGAGCCACAGGCCAATTTCCCTCCTTTGTGGAACAAGCAACAACTGCTTTCATAATATCCTCGACCGGGTCTAGCCCTTTATCAATCATTTCATGGTAAGCATCAAGGGCTAGCTCCATGCGACCACATTGCACAAACGTGCTGACCAACAAGCTATATGTAATCATAGTTCCACTTAGTTCATTCTCCTTGAATGCCCTCCACAATCTCTCAACCTCAACCCAATTTTTCGCTTTCCCACATATTGCTATCATTGTATTGTAGACAATGATATCGAAGTTCTTCTTCGTTATGGCTTCACCTTCCAATACATTGAATAGTTTCAATGCAGAGTCACAACCTTGCACACTAGCAACGGCCTTAAGTACCAAGCTATGCGTGTGACAAGTCGCCACTCCCTTCCTTCTCACCTTCCCAAAAACTCTCAAGGTGTCGTTAACCGACCCATTGCGGATAAGACAAGCAATAAGAGAGTTACAAGCATGTGAATTGGGCCAAAGGCCCGAGGCATCGACTGAAACAAATAGTTGCAGTGCGCTCCTCGCTTTGTTGGATCGGCTAAGGTCTATTATCCTCTCTGATAATATCTCCTCATCCCTTTCCTCCAAAAAAAGCAATTTCGTTCCGAGAAGACTCTCCTTCTCCTCCAAATTAACGAGTTCCCCTTCATAAATCAAGCTAGATGAGGATTGGGCACAAGCTCCGAGATTTTCCCTTGTCCTCGACGAGAAAAGCCGGCTTCTTTTGGATTTACAAGGCGTAATCCAACGCCAACAAACGCATTCTACAGAGACCACGAGTACAAAGGTATGAAGTTTCATGCACAAAGGAGGGATTCCGGCGAGTACCTTAGCATTTTTATACCTAATCTATATGGGTTTTCAAGGGTTCGATCGAACTAAATTGAATCGAAGCATAATTTGTTAAGAGTGGAGTTGGAACCTTTGAATTTTTCAAATATGAGGTCTCAGAGAGAGAGAGAGAGAGAGAGAGAAGGGCACCTGAAGCAGCGGAGGCCGTTGTCGGAAAAAAAGCCGGCGGCAAGGACGAGAGAGGAGAAGGATTTAAACACTCCATTCGCTACTCTCAATTTGGGGCGAGAGAGATATCTCAAAGAAGCAAATCCCCACTCTTAATTTTGTGGAGTTCTAGTTAAAACGGACTTAGGGAGTGTTTGTTTGCATGCAAGCAAAAGATGTGAGTGAGAAAGTTACTTTTATTTAACAATTACCATTTGTTTTTATGTAAATGATTATGAAAGTGGGATATAAGAAAGTTGCCACATATGATTTAATGTAATTTTGACTTTTCCTAAAAAAATGGTGAAGTCATATGAAAGTGACAAAAATGTAACTAATTTAATTAAATGATTTTAATTATATTTTCTAATTAATCTTATTTAGGCGTAATCCAACGCCAACAAACGCATTCTACAGAGACCACGAGTACAAAGGTATGAAGTTTCATGCACAAAGGAGGGATTCCGGCGAGTACCTTAGCATTTTTATACCTAATCTATATGGGTTTTCAAGGGTTCGATCGAACTAAATTGAATCGAAGCATAATTTGTTAAGAGTGGAGTTGGAACCTTTGAATTTTTCAAATATGAGGTCTCAGAGAGAGAGAGAGAGAGAGAGAGAAGGGCACCTGAAGCAGCGGAGGCCGTTGTCGGAAAAAAAGCCGGCGGCAAGGACGAGAGAGGAGAAGGATTTAAACACTCCATTCGCTACTCTCAATTTGGGGCGAGAGAGATATCTCAAAGAAGCAAATCCCCACTCTTAATTTTGTGGAGTTCTAGTTAAAACGGACTTAGGGAGTGTTTGTTTGCATGCAAGCAAAAGATGTGAGTGAGAAAGTTACTTTTATTTAACAATTACCATTTGTTTTTATGTAAATGATTATGAAAGTGGGATATAAGAAAGTTGCCACATATGATTTAATGTAATTTTGACTTTTCCTAAAAAAATGGTGAAGTCATATGAAAGTGACAAAAATGTAACTAATTTAATTAAATGATTTTAATTATATTTTCTAATTAATCTTATTTTGTCACGCCATCTTCATATTACACTTTCGATAATAGTTTAATTTTTAAAACAAACATTGTATTTTACTTGTGTGCTGACATGGATGTAAAAGTCATTTGTAAAAAAAATAACTTACATATTTTAAATTCACTTTCAGAGTGCCAAACACCCTCTTACTACAAGAGTACCATAATAGAAGAAAAGCGTCTGCAACTTTCAACTTCCTGCCGTCACAATTTTTCACTTTGAAGTTACTATACTAATTTTGATAGCCCAGTATGCCGCACGTGCATACTTCGTTTACAAAATTACTAGTAAATAACATATTCTATACTAGTGATTTTATAATATTTACTTAACGGTATATATTGATTCTCAATATATCATGGATAAAAGTTACAAAGGCCACTAAAATAAAAAAAATTAATATTTAATGTCTAGTATCTTGATGGAATAGCAAAAATTGTTATTAGATGTAAAATTACAAAAGCTATAATAGCAAGATGGAATCACAAACGGTATAAAGATATTGTTTGAATAGCTCCGTTCATAGGAATTGTATAAGTCAAATTTTTTAATGCAAATTAGATAATCTCAATCAGGAGACATAGTAATTTGGATTTCATGTAAGAAATCAAATTTTTGTTTGCAATTCAACCAAATATATCATTATATATAAGTTTGTGTATTCTGATTTATTCAATGAATAGAAGATAGAGAGCCAATATATTTTATTAGTTAATCTTTGTAGCTTAAAGTTAATAGGAAAAATAACTTATTGGTGATTAATAAAAAAAAGACAAACAATGCTTTATGATTCAACATAATTATTAATGAAAGAACATAAAAGATGCTTAATAGAGGTAAGAAATTCATAAGAACAAGAAACATTGAAAGCGTTGGATAAGCTGATAGCAACTCCAACCTTAAAGTGTATATGAACCGAGTAATTAACTAAGAATAAACCATGAATATATCTAATGAATAAGAAAGCGCAACTTAATGACTTATATTCAAAAGAAAAAGTACAACTTATGATAAATAGTACAAAAACTATTTACAACATTGTGCGGGGGGTGGGTGTGGGGGAGGGGGGAGGAATCTTTAAATAACATTGCATAAACTCTAAACATAAGATCATATATTCTTTCTAAGTATTAAAAGATCAATAAGAGTCCTACCCAATCCACAGTAGAAAAATGGTACACATTGAAAATAATTTTTGGTTGCCAAATAAAATTTATACATACTTTTAAATATCACGGTTTTCAAATAATAACCTTCCTATAATCCATTATCCTTCTCTTTTTAAGGATTCAGGAGAGAAAACACAAATCAAGAGCTAGAAATTGAACATGAGACATAGTCTTCAACTCTATAAGAAATAAATCATTAATTCTACAAATCATTTGACAAATATTATCTGTTGTATACATGCGCACATATATGTACAAGCTACGTACATTATAAACTATTTGACAAACTTTCCATATAACATATTTCATAAACTATTGTGCTGGTGTAGAAATTTAGCTTAGTAGGTGATGTGGTGGTTTGAAGAGAATGGATGTCCGTAATTTATAGTTTAGAAATGAAAAAGAGGTTATGTAAAGGTAAAATGAAAGGGTGGTTAGGTAATTGGATTCATAACATATGTATTTACTTAAATAAGTTATAGAATATATAAGAGCCTAAGAAACTAATTAAATCCTATTATTGTGATGATTCGCAATTAATTTAGCTTAATTAGGACTCATTGAATGAGACTTTAAGATAAATTAAATTAATAAAATAACTAAAGTAAAGTTGGAATTATCATATTTGAGAGAGGTAAAAAGAACAATTAAAAGTTTTAGCACCCCAATCATCTTTTATATGTAACTAGTATAGTGCACGTGCTTTGCACGAGAGCATGCCTATTTTGTTTTATGTTTTTCAAAATTTTTTGTTGGCTGAAAAATACTAAAATGAATTGTATTGCAATATAAATTCTAAACAATTACAATTGTAGGTGTAAATTTTGATTTCCCGAAACGGGGGTATTCATTTGTATTTATAAGAACAGCTTATTACAAACTAATGAATCAAAGTTACAACAGAAGCGGAGGGAATGCCCTCCTTGTTTAACGTGAGGTCTCTGGTAGCGATAGGACGCCTCCCTCGGTTCTCGCACGGAGTTTGCTTCCCTTGGACGATCCGAGAAAAGTTGCGGGCGAGCTTTAGTACACAGTACAAGCTCGTGTTGATCGAGTTCGAGTTCCCGAGCTTAATGGCTACCAAGGCCGAAAGCTGGAAGAACATGCTACAGTGCAAGAACAATGCAAAGAGCCAGGCTCAATTCTCGTAGAGCTTAAGAGAATTGATTTCCAAGGAGCCAAATAGGTTCGGTCTTGATCCAGAGTTCAAGACCGTCTTGAGTTCTCTGTAATTCGTCCTCAAGGAGGTCGGGTCCTAGGACCCTCTCTCTATGGCTGCTCATGGCCTTTTATAGAGAAGAAGGAGAGTGTAATCACTCCCTTAAATCATGGAAAGTGACTATTCCCATACTGAGTATGGCCATGAGGAGAATCATGACCAAATCCCTTAAATTATGGTAAATGACTATTCCCATGCTGGGTACGGTCATGATGATAACCAATCCCTTAATTCAAGGGATTTGGCTGCTCCCATGCTTCAAGTTGGCGGCTCACAGGCTAGGCGAGCTGGTAAGGCTGTGCAGGCGAGCTTGGCTTTCAGGTGAGGCTGTGCAGGCGAGCTTGTGCAGGCGAGGCTGGATCATGCAGGCGAGGCTGTACAGGCGAGCTTCAAGCGTGCAGGCGAGCTCCCAACTGTCGGGCGAGCTTGCCTTGTGCAGGCGAGCTTCAAATATGCAGGAGAGCTCGGTAGGCGAGGCTGTGCAAGCGAGCCAGCCTCATTCAGGCGAGCTCCAGAACATGCTACGAAGAATATGTCGTAACTTTCAACCCGTAACTCGGAATTGGACGAATATATATGAAAATCGGCTATCTCGACGAGACGGAGCCAATCAAACTGTAGGCTGTCTAAAAATCACAATAGATAACCAATCCCCATCAAACACCGATGATGGAAGTTACAATCTGACAACTTTCAGAAGGTTACAATTTGAAGACTTTCACGTAGATCGAGGAAGGTTACAATCTGACGACCTTCATAACAACTAATGAAAGCTCTAATTCAACAGCCTTCACAATCAACATCGGGAGTTACAATCTGATGACTCTCATATTTTCAAGGAGCCAAGACGAAGGTTACAAGGTGATGATCTTTGCGACGCTCTAGCAAAAGAGACTATAAATTGACGGTCTCTTCATATTAAAACAGTGATATCTCTCAAACCGTAAGGAATTTGGTAAAACCGACGGAGCAAACCGAACCCTATATGGTTGGTTTGGTCGGCTCCGTCTCGTCGAGATAGCCGATTTTCATATATAATTCGTCCAATTCCGACTTACGGTTTGAAAGTTATGACATGTTCTTCGCAGCAAGTTATGTTCTGAAGTCCGTCTGCAAGACTGGACTTCGTCTGAACATTGGACTTAGGCTGAAGTTCACCGAGCCCGCCAGAGGCTCAGCTCTGCATCCAAGATTCAAAACGCAGAGGTCATGCCCTCGTTCCAAACTCAAAACGCAGAGGTCATGCCCGCGTCCCAAACTCAAAACGCAGAGGTCATACCAGCGTTCTAAACTCAAAACGCAGAGGTCGTGACCACATTTGAGATTCAAAACGCAGAGGTCGTGGCTGCGTTCCAAACTCGAAACGCAGATTTCATGGACTTGAAATGCAGAGTCCAACTCTGCGTCCAACGACAAAAACGCACAGTTCATGCAGAGCCCAACTCTGCGTCCTAGGTCCAAGACGCACAGTTCATGCAGAGCCCAACTCTGCGTCCCAGATCCAAAACGCACAGTTCATGCAGAACTCAACTCTGCGTCCCAGGTCCAAAACGCAGAGTTCATCTCTGCGCATCGCGATCTGTGCGTTTTCAGCCTAAAACAGGCCCAACTCTGCGTTTCAGGTCTAAAACGCAGAGTTCGGACCCAGAACGTTGTTTTCAGCGTTTGACTCGTTCAAGCACGATTTGAACGGTTCCAGAACCGTTTTCTCCCCACGATTTGAGGGGATCACTACCCTATCATGGAGAGATTTATGGGGGGCAGTTACACCCTATTAAACCCTCATTAAGGAAAGATTTAAAGGGGGCGGTTACACCCCTAAATCCCCTATAAATAGTGGAAAACTCAACTGAGTTTAGATCCTCTTTTTTGGCTGGCTTTTGGGGATCTGGGCTGGAGCTTTTTGGCTGGAGATTTGGCTCTCGGATTCAGCCTTCTTTTTGGTCTTTCGGCTTGGCAACAAAAAAAGTTCTTGGAGCTTTGGAGATCAGCCACGTGAGCTCCTTCATCCTTGGCTTATTAACCGAACTTTCGGTTTAAATCAACTCTTTCATAGAGTTTCAAAAGTCGTTTAGAGTTATCAACTCGTTCAAAGTTCTTTAAAACTTGCCATGCAAGTTCTCCACAGCGTCAAATCGTGAGGAGAAGATATTGTTCCAGTGAATCAAGATGTTCGGATCGTCAACGGAGAGCAAACTCGACGCGAGCAATCGAGGGAGGCACTCCATCGCGACCGTGAAGAACCCAGAATTAAACAAAGGGGAAAATCCAGATCATTCTCCTCTTTTTTGTAATCGGAATCCAAATTGTAATCGATTTTGAGAGAATACAAATCAATTTTTCTTTCATTATTTCTTTTACTACAAATTTTCCACAAACACAAACCAACCCCAAAGGGTTTGGTTTGCTCCTGTCCGTTTTGCCAAATTCCTTCCGGTTTGAGAGATATCAGCGTTTCCTCCTTTTCAGCTATTTCGAGCGAGGTTTTAGCAGTCTTGTTCTGAACTTCTCTGATAGGGATTAAAGGTAATTTTTATTGCCTACAACAATATTTTCAAATGAATAAATTGCACAATAAAATTTTGTATAAAGAACTGTATGGTTAATTACTATAGTTCGGATAATTGTTATAATTTATTCATAAATTATTAAAATTAAAATAATTAATATATATTAAATAATTTATTCTCTTTTAAATATAATGCATAGCATAATTGTAATATTATTAGTAACTACATTTTAATTTCATAATTATTTTATTACACTATTAGTAAATAATTTACTAAATTGCATAATTGCTGAATTACAATGTAATTTATTAATTTAAAAATACTATTAAAATAATTATAATATTAATATTATAATAAATATAAATTGTTTTTCCTACTATTATCGTACTTTTAAAAGGCTAATAAGATGAAATGTAACAGATAGTCCTCCATAAGACGTGAAACTCAAAGGCATAAGGCATGAGCCTAATGAATTATTATTTTTTAATTTTTCTAGAAGTTTAAATATATGTAAAGATAAATTACGGATAAATTTCAAATATTATGTTGAATAACACAATTAAATAATAAAATAATAGTGTAACCAAAAGTTTTGAAAAAATGAGGAAATGGATAATTAATAAGAGGTTATATATAATTAGTGAATGAGTAATTACAATTAATAACATATTTGAGAATTATCATACTTAAAAGGGCAAAAATAAAAATCAAAAGTTTTGACAGGGCAATCCTCTTTTATATGTAGTAGTATAGATTTAAAAGTCCGAAAATTGATTTCCTTAAACAATATTCAAACTACATATTAGCACGTGCAAAAATATTTAACTGTTATCCAATTCATTTTTTATTAGAGCCCTACTTGGGTGCTTCAAAAACAGGCTTTTCTTTTTTTTAATTTCAATTTAAAGGGTGATAAAGAAATACTCTCTACTATTTCTTCCTCACTCTTACAGACCCAATGATTTGGATTCTTCGTCCACTAAATCAACTAAGCACCCGC